TATCGAATTTCTCTCACTTTTATGGCTTGAATAACTTTGGAATCGGAAACTGTTTATTTAAGTATGTTTCATATATCATGTGTGATGTTATATATGGTGAAAACTAAGTAAATAAATATAAAAGAATAACAAAAATATTACTGTAAAACTGTTCATTGCTATTACATATATGTGATATACGCTAATATGTTATCACAATTAGGATGAATACTTTAAACAAAAGAAGGCCTTCTATCTGAAACAGATACCATTAAATCCTTTACAATAAACCTTTATATTCAAAACACATTAATTATCAACCCTACTGTACATTGTAATAATAATTCTCCTCCTGTGAGATGTATCTACATGTATCATCTAATATTATATCCGTTAAACTAGATTTGTACTACATTCGTTTAGATGCGGTATTTCGAGCAATAATAACAGTACTTTCAACACTAACGATATCTTCTTAAAAATACGACAGCTTAATACATTCATTCTTTATTGATTAAGCTACATACAAATATCAGCAACGATGAAAGCTACAATGTCAGAAGTTTAGTATTTCTTGGTAAAGGAAGAGAGAGAGAGAGAAGTTTTATTTTGGAGGAGTAAAATAATTAAAAAAGGAAATAACAAAAAACAGGCAAAAGACCTGCAGGCCTTAAATCTACAACCTAAAACTCCATTATATTTAAACAATATATCGAAAGAAAGAAGTAAACTTTACAGTGTCATACATAAAATGCCTTAGGTCATTGACATATAGGTGCAGAGAAGAAGAAATTTTACTTAGACTTTATCAGTTTATAATAATTCTTGTGACAGGGCTTCGGCAAGCGTGAACCCAAGGACAAAAACTTGGACTAATTTGGAGGAAAACTTCTACACACAATGCTTTTCACCAAATATCTAAGCTCTAAACCTTGAAATTATTGAAATGGTACACTTTTATATATTAAATCATATTTTAAACTTCCATGCCGTAGATATGAAATCTGGCAGGCAGTTTAAATAAACTTTGAACAATTGATTACAGAGATGTCTTGTGAAGCAATAATTGTGGACGGCACACGGACAACAAACACCCATCGATGTTTCAATCTTATCTGTTTTATTTATACATGTTTTGACAGATGTTACAACTTATCGCGAACATTCAACAAAGATTATCTTACAGACCTAACGTTTTTTCAGAATCTTTTGTTTAATATTGAGTTGGCAATTGAAACGTGTTGGATTTAAAGAATGAAAATCCATGCACATCAACTTTTGTGCAAAAAAAAATCTTTTTTATAAAATTCTATTTTTCTACTATAGTCAAGATTATTCATTTATTGAATGTTCTTAAGCTATACAGTATAATCATGACAGAAACTACTTTGTCTGTCTTCACATTTTACACTGGATCAGACATATTGTATATATTTGTCTAATTCATGATTGTAACTTACAGACTGACAAGAAGCCGTCTTAGACAAATCGACATCATCATATAAATTCCGTAATTGAATATTGTGAATTGTGATCATTAATTGTGTACTTTGTTTTTTTTAATGCACATCGCCACTCACAGTAAGACTCTAGATTTTCTGGCGGAGGATGAGCTACGCTCTATGGGCACTATTTCAGATCACAAGAATGTCCCTTAATAGATCCAGCGACATTCCTTTAGCTTGCTTGGTAGCTTTCTTTCATTAATAATCCAAGGTCCGCGGCGGGATTCGATATAACATATTCTTAGATCATTGACACACTTATGTCAAATAATCTAATTGTAAGAGCTATATGTAGCGACGATGTTTTTCAATCCTTTGATGCAATTGGAAAAAAGCATAACGAAAATCAATGGTGTTACCAGTTATGTTGAAGTTGCTCGCCGTTAAACTAATTGTGTCGTTATCAAGCCTTTTGTTATTATTTTGTATGGGTTCTCGAAGCTAATATGATCTCAGTCGACCATAAACTAACGACATATATCAGAAAGATTTTCGCAATGGTATCAAGTAATGAACCAATGATAACAATTTATATGAAATTATTCACTAGACTCGGATTTTATAATGAATATTTTAGTTTGCAAATATCGATACAGAGCGATTGAATTTGTTGATTTCAAAACATTGTCAAACAAACAATATAAAATTGATATGGCAAAGTGAATAATGGCATAAATAAATGTACTAGACGACAGTTTTTTAATGAAGGCAAATATAAAAAGTCCTATACACACCATGCAAAGAACATGCATTACAATACAAATAATTGACCATCATCAATGCATTTTGTGTATCTTAAACAACATCATTATCCAGCTTCATTTGTTTGAATGATGACATTGTCCAAAAGGGTCTTTGTCTTTCTTTGAAGGTCAACTTGTATTTATGCTGTAAAATATGAAAGCCCATAAACTGAACCATCAAATGATATAATCCAACCTTTCAGAGTTGAAAAGCTAAACATTAAAAGTTGTTCAAGTGTGAGTTTCCTGTCTACAAAACCAAAATGTAATTGTTGTCTGATAAGCTGCTTAGCAAAGAAAATAACGTAAATAACTTAATGTAAATCCATCGCAATAAATAGAAATTTAGGCGAAGATTACGGATCTGAAATAGAGTGGTTGAAATTTTTTAAACATTAACTGCATCTATACTCGCTGTAAGTTAAACGCTTTAAAATAGAATCTATTGCAGTAAACGTTAGTTTTTTGAAAGCTTTCTTGAGACATGTAAAATTATGTATCACACAACATTTAAAGTAACTCCCGGTATAGTAATAGTATGGTGACTACTAAAAGTAATAGTTTTCTAATTCTTTTTCTAAAGCAGTGCTTTGTTAAAAACTGAATGATTCTTTTCGTAAATGTAATCTTATGTATGTATTACTTTAAAACATATCAGAAAAATAACACAAATGCAATGAAATTAGGTTTTATGAATATACAATTGAGCATAACATTTTTGATAATTCTAGTTACATGGTGACAAGCTAAAATATTAATATAATATTTTGATAACAAATCATTTAAAAGGTGAAAAATCTCCCTTCACACATGATGTTATCGCAAGCAGTCTTTTTGTAAGATGTTTAATGATATAATATAAACTGTTTTAATTTGTCAAAAATATAATACTATGTCATCTGACAACGAAAGGCATTATTTGTCAATTATTGTCAATTATTGATGTTTGTTAAAGTATTGTTTTGAGCAAAGGAATTGTTAATATGTTGAAACAATTTATATCTTGAAGTACTTCCTTGAAGGCGTATTCACATGATTTAGTAATACATGAATCTGTAGTTGCTTGATCGATTAACGTTTTGATTATCAACAAATAGTATTATTTGCAATAATTTTCAACTACGTATATTTTAAAGTAAGAATGATCAACAATTTTATTCTTTTTCAATTTGAATTTTTCTTTATATTTATGTATTACACCGTTCTGTATGCATTACGGTGACTATTGACAAGATATATATTCTGACTTGTATGAATGGCTTATTAATGTTAAATTTCTGTAAATAAATACATGTATATACCTTTTCAATCATTCTTCTATTTTAAAATGATTTATAAGCATATCTTATTTGACACATTACCGCTAAAAATATAACTTCGACAGTCGCAACGGTGTACACATAATGATGTACATTTTTCACTGCTTATGTCTGTGCATATATTACATGTATATAGGAAAATTGCAATACTTCAAAGGTATTGATTTCTCTGTGTTGCATCACTACAAACTTGAATTCAGAACAATATGTACCGTAGTTTCATTTTGTATTATTGTTACGTGTATCTGTTGTCCCTTTGATTCTCTTATCTGCTTTTGTGTTTGAACTTTGAACGATTGGGTTAATAGCATGCTAGAATAAATAATGCTTCCTTATAAATAATACTAAAGATAGATTGCTGATCTTGCTATACCCAAATATATATATATATATATATTTTAAGATTTTCATTTTGTTGTTTAATTTGGTTATAGTTTTGAAACATGCAACATACCTTTGGTTGCATGATTTATCTGTCATAAAACATATCTTCATTTTTTTGTCTGTCTTGTAAACAAAATAATAAACCCAAAACTTGCATGTTATTAACGGATAAAGGATTATTAAGGGAAGAAGATATATAGATACTGCATATTAATTCTTATCTTCATATGTTGTATCTTATTTGTAAGATGTTACATGTACCAGGTGAAATGATGAAGTCAGTTATAGCTAACTATATAATTGTGTAGATGTTACAATGATATCAGACTGTTGCTTTCATAAATCATGTTCACGATGTTTGTTGATTTTGTTTACGTCAAACTTTTGTTTAAAGAAATACTATGCTCAAATTTGATATATTATAATAAGATAATATTGATAATATTGATAATTGCTACACAGTCTCTTTGCTAATATAAAATACACATGTTTGAGTTCACACAAAGTACATGTGTTATGTTTAGAATTCTACAATTCAATAGGTGGTCACAATATGAATGTATGTTATTAAAACAACTCGCACTTTTAGTTTCTTTTTAAGGAAAAGACCAACTTTACATGTCCCGTAGGTATCGCAGCTTCTCATACATAATTTTTATTTATTTTGTTATTCAAGTAAGACATATTTAGTAAGAATTTCATAGATTTAAATCAATTTCTGTGATTAAGATATTTGACTCAAGAATGAGCATAGTATATCTGTCAATTGTCAAAAATACATAAGATTGCTAAAGTATTGTGACCATGATAAGTGTGCCGGTAAAGGAAGAAGTGACTCCTTGTATACTACTAACTCCTTTGATGAACTGTTTCAAAATATTAAACACCAATGATAGTATGAAGGCTACAGCATCACATTTCATTCATCAAGGTACTAAAATCATCAGACTAAAATAATTTATTAAAAAAAAACATAATACGTCAAAATAATATAAAACAATATTTGGTTAACTCAAATAACAAACACTTGATATGTGATAAGTTTTGTGACATAAACTTTTGTTTAATCAATTTTGCTTCTTGTTAAGCGTCTCTTTATCATTACTTTGAATATCATTATTTCCTATATTTTGTATAGAATCGCTTTTTGTCCGTGCGACGGGTTTAGTTTTTCCTTTTGTTTTTAATTCACAACACTTTTGAAATAAATACATCATAACAAAAATAATTCCTTTGAGTATACACATGAAAAATTTACACATGATTGAACACATAGTTCTGATTGCCAGAAATATCAACGATTTTACATATTGCTCGGTTTGAAGCTTTAAACACATTTCATTCGAAAGAACTCTAATCACTGATATGTCTTTAGCTAAGTCTATAGGTAACTCCGAGTGTTTGGTCAGTGAAAACACGTCAGCACCGTGAACGATGAGCATTGTAGTGACCTGTAAAAATCCAAGTGCTGCCGCAGTGTGCAAAGGTGAGAACCCGTATTCATCCTGAGAACTCACATTTGCGCCGTGATTTAACAGCAATTTTACTGAATCAAGGTTATTTGTCAATACAGCGTAATGTAATGCAGTCAAACCCGTGTGATTTCTTTGATTCAGATCAAACTCTGACCGCTGATACCGCAATATGTGTAACAATTCCATCACATCCCCGTCCTGAATTACAGCATTTAAAATTGAGTCGACTGGAAACGAAATTCTCTTAGCGCTTTGTGGTGACGTCATTTTTGGAACAACCTCATCGTCATCACTATTGCCTGTTTCAACTGGCTCTTCTGCTTTTAACACAGTTATTGTTTGCATCTTTACAGCCATCTGCAACAAGGTTGAAACTGGTATAATATATAATAATAAGGGATCTGAAATGTATTTGGTATTTAAAAAAATCTTTAAAACATAATCAGATATCCTAGCACTGACAGTATAATGTGGAATTTAGATTCTAAAAAATTAATATAGAATCTACATGCTACAAATTTAAATATTCTGCATTATTTGATTTATTTAATAACTCACAGCTAACACGAGACAGTCATGTAGAAAAAATCAAATTTTACAATATAGAATATAATTAAAAACGTTTTCAGTCAGCATTCAATAATAAAGATTCATGTACCAGAACGCCGCCTTGTGTTATGCGTTTAAAATAATATAAAAATTGTCTTTTATAGATTAGAACATTGAAATCATGATTTACAATATTTTTACAATACATCTTGAAAAACATTATAAATTGTATTGCAACAGTACGTCCGTTATTTGAAAATTACAATAGAAACATAACGGTTAATTTGAGGACACGTGCCTCGTTCTCACACCTGTCTGTCATTATTGTTAAGATAAAATCGTTAACAATATCCTTACATTAAGTATACAACAAAATCCACTAAATCCTGCTTACTATACACAACTGAACCTTGGCAAAAATACAGACAAAACAATGTCTTCATAATACCACTATTCCGATGAAATAAAATAAATGAAACAAATGTTATCTTATAGTCTAATGATAAGTTTGAAACACTTACTTTTAATAGAAAGTGTAAATTATAGATTCGTGGACGAAGACACATCACAATAAAGTACACATTTTATGATACATATAAAACGTTATTTGAACCGCGTCATGTCAAAACCAACATAATGGGTTTGCGACCAGCATGGATCCAGACCAGCCTGCGCATCCGCGCAGTCTGATCAGGGTCCATGCTGTTCGCTATCAGTTTCTCTATGTGTTATAGGGTTTGTAAGCGAACAGCATGGATCCTGATCAGACTGCGCGGATGCATGCTGGTCGCAAACCCATTATGTTGGTTTGGTCGTGACGCGGCTCATTTATTTAAACTGACATCAACCGTGAGAAACTTTACTCTAGCTAAGGACACTGGCCTCATTTTCAATTTTATTTGTCATTGTTTACAATGTTTCACCTACATAAATGGAAGTTTTAAATATGAAATATAAATATTTGATAGTTAATATTATGTAGTACATGCAAATTATCCATTATGTTTTGTTTATAACAGTTTTAACATTTTTTCTTCATATTTCAAAGGATTAAAATCATATACATGTAATTACATGCTGCAAAATGTTATTTGAATTTCTAAAAGAAAGAGTGCTTCCAATTTGCTTGCATGGAAGAGATCTTTTTGTATATTTTTAAGACCAGTTAACGCATGAACGCAATCGAATCTCAACCAATAAAGCCCTAAATGAAATAGCGGCAAAATATTTTGTTTCGGAATATTTTATTCTGTTTAAGTACGGTGTTCGTGTATGTATAGTAAAACAGACATTTTATGTTCAATGTTTTTCTTTTTTATGAATCTACCATAAGATTTTGAAAACAACATCATTATAATAATTGTTTTTCTTTTTATTTGTTGCATTTCATTAGATACAGCTTTATACTATTTAATTTCACATTGATTTGTTCTTTCTTTTGCAGTCAAGCGTTTAAACTGACCTGCTTAAATGATATAATGTATTGTATAAGACCTTTAAAACTGAGACTGAATACAGAAAGAAAAAGAGTAAAAAGCGCAATAGGTAGGCAAATGATAGCTGATTGACATATGGCAATGTAACTATAACTGACTGTCCTTTGTTTCAAGAAACGTTTCACAATTTACCCATAAATATTAACATTTATTTTGTGCGTGTAACATTTCAATTCTAAACATATTTAAAATATTTTACATAATTGAATGATCATTTTTCAAATTGCTTTTTTAATACACAATAGGTTCGATAACTTTTAAATGATTTAATTAACATTATGTTCAGTGCTCATATTTTCTTTATCTTAAGCTGAAATAATTCTTGTTCAAATACAGTAAAAAATATTACGCAAAATTTGCGTTTTAACTGTACGAATATGAAATGTATAAATTATATAAAATAAGCATACTGTAACCCAATTTATATTCGCGGATACAAATTTTCGCGTTTTGCCGAGGTCGGACATATTCGCGAATATTAATGTTCGCGTTTTCTTGATTTCCGAAAAAAAAAAAAATTCGCGGATTGGAAAGTCCGATGGGGCCGTCAAATCCATTAGCCGACTATTAATGTTCAATAATTGAGGTCATTATTGGTGTCTTGAATGGGATTAACAATACGCTAGCCTTATATTGTATTGGTAAGTGAATTGTGATCACAATTCAGCAAAACATTTTCTCAATATATATATTATGTGCATCGTTCGTCTTCATTTCTAAACATGTCGTTAAAAGGGTGGTTGATAAAAAATAAACCTTCAGAATGCAGGGATGTTAACTGAACTATACAGGCTGTTTAGTTTGACGGGTAAAAAGCGATACTAGTATGAAACCATCTTGTATTTCACTGTTTGTAAGTATGTACACCCAATACCCTTTTGTGATGCTCGATAGGTTTATACCAACTTTGTCTTAACAATTCACTCAAACAATTATTTTATAGGATCAAAAAAACAATAGCCTTTTGTGATGCTCGATAGTTTTCCCACTTTTGTTAACGATTTATTCAAATAGTACCCTATACGGAACGTAATTGACAATAGGCCTACTAGTATTTCATAAACTGTATTAAAATGTGGATGTTTATTTTGATTGCTATATTGACATAGAGTTCTTTTGATATTTATGAAATAGTAGTAGTTTACTTAGTTTGTGTTTTTATTGCTTTATGGCAATATTCATAACAATTCATTACTTCCTAAGAGGTGCCCGTAAAATTCGAATATATCCGGTCAAGTAGCTTTGCATGAACAACGTCTAAAATAAAAATTCCTCTCTAATTTATTCGCGAAATCGTGCGGACTTATTCGCGCAAACAAATATTCGCGCTTCGTGGCCATCCGCGAATAAAGCGAATATTAATTGGTCGCGAATATTCGTTGGGTTACAGTATGTATGTTCTTCATCAATTTGCCAGGATATTGTTATATACCAACAGCAAGAATGAATGCTAAGATGGTCATTTAAAACAGAAATAAATTTCAAATTGCTATTGGTTAAAGTAATCTAAAAAACAATATAACTTTGTCTTACTTCGAGCAAATACTTCACAAAAGATTTCAAAGCAATTACTCATTAGATGGAATCGTATCCAGCCGCAAGCATTTCACAAGCTTTTGTCGCGTTGGTTAGAGAAAACTGAAATTACTTTGTCTAAAATCCAGTAACATCAAGAAGTCGCACTGCGAAAAATGGGATTTCGAAAATAATTATTAGCTTCAGTTGTCAATCCAGTATCTATGATGGCTGATTTGTGCCATTCGTGTTTTCGCCCCAAGATCTCGCCCAGCGAAAAGTCGAAAATTAACAAGTTAAAAGGTCGGGGGCGCAAATTGTTAATTAGCGAGGGCGCGGGGCGAAGTTTAATCAATAAAACTTCGCTCCGCGGGGCGTGGAGCAAGATTTAAGAACTATAACGGCGCGGTCTCGGGACGAAAACACGCTTATTAGCGGGGCGATGTTAAATAATAAAATTTCGCCGCGCGCCCTCGCTTATAAGCGTGTTTCGACCCGCAACCTCGCCAAGCGAAATGTCAATAATAAACACGTAAAAATTGCGGGGCGCAGAGCGAAAAAATGCCAATAAGCGCACCCGCTCTTCCATCGTTTTATTTCTTAAACCTCGCCCCTCGCACTCGCTAATTAGCGTGTTTTCGCGAAAACACGAATGGCACAAATCAGCCAAGATAAGTACCTTCCTTTTCATATATCAACTATATACAAATGTACATATTAATTATTAGATTTTAATGAACCAAATATGGTTATAAATTATTGTATTAGTCCTACCTAACCTTATGTTTAAGTAAGAAGGTACAAGTACATATTGCTACTGCAATTTTTCTTTATATTCTAGTACTGCTTTAATTATATGTCTTTTTTGCGCCACTTTTATTATGGTCTTATCGCGACGTTCAGTTTACCTAACTGGATTTCTGGATAACTAACCAGTAATAACCATTTCTCCGCAAGTAATTGACTACTCACAGATTTCCGAATCAACAGTCAGTGACAAATGGCAAAAAGAACCAATTTCCGAGATCCATTGTAACGGACACACCCCGCCCCGCCCGATGACCGGAACAGCGATCCCTGGATTTCAAATCTACCGTGATTGAGCTTAACGGGCTTAGAACATACAATTAGTAAATAAAATCATAACTGCCTGCACCTGGATTTCGGATATTCATCATACCTGCGTTTACAGTTTCCTGGCTTTTAGAATAAAATAATTACTTAAACAGACTGTTGATTATCGCAGGTGTGCCAATTGGCAATTGATATATAAACTACAAACCAAAATAGATCAACATAATTTAAGCGAAGAATATTTCATGTTAACAGTTTTTCTTATTGAACATAGCATAAAGATTCAAGACGCTTGGATCAAACTATATTACCTTGAAATTCTCTTATAATTTTTATTGTGGAAAAATGCATACTTATTTTATCAAAAAGAACATGTAAGGAGCACACAATTTATACAATTCAAAACTTTGTATGAGATCAATTGTCTTGAAATATCGGGAAATATTCTTAAGATGTTGATATTGATAGAACAAACATTAATAGGTAAAATCGCTGGTAAGGTTTAATTGCGTACACAGTACTAGTATGCTCACTAAAAATAGTGAGACGTGCATAATGTTTTTACCAACTTAAGAAGACAACAGGTATCCCGAAGGACCAGAAATGTTTTACCTCGCTTGGATGAAATACTGGATACGTTTAACAACTGTTAAACAGCATTTGAAATTTGCTGTTGTGAGTACAAATGTTATCTTAGAGAGAAGTTTTTTCATTTAAGGATCCAAGGAGCATAAAACAAAATTTACTCAATAGCAATAAAATACAGAAACTATTTTTATCTTCTAAGCTTTCAACATTGCTTAAAATTTCTTAATGAAATATTTTTGTAGAAGAGATGATAACAGACCTAGATAAAATTACATCAATCGCATATTTGCCTTTGATGACTATTTTACAAAGTCAACATACTTGGCGTTAAATAATGCAACAAAAATCAACATAACGGTATAGCAGCAAGCCAGGTTCTATGAAAAGCTATCTTCAATGCTTAGAGAAAATGTTCGTTAAAGGGACGACCAGCATTCTATTTCATCATATACCTATTTGACATCTGAAAAAGTAATGATACTATTGTTTGTTTTAACGAATACTCTGGCTAAACTTTAACAATATCCTTAACGTGATTCATGTTTCCTTTTAATGTTTTATATGTCCTTGCTGTCAATGTATTTGCACAAATGTTGCAAGCAAAAATGCATAAATTACAGATGTTGCCAGGCAACACGCTCGTAGCACTCGAGTTAAGATATTTACTGTTTCGAGATCGTGTAAATGTCTTTGATCAAATCTGGATTCGCAACTGAAACTTGTTGAAACGGATACTTTAAATACACAAATAAAGGACGTGTTTGAATTAATAACAATTCGTTTTTTGTATCACTTGATACTTGGTCGAAACTTAAAACCTTCTCGTGTAAAACGCTTATAACCTTTTTTTTCAATTTAAGACGACATATAGTTGAAAGTCGTTATTAGCTAAAAGCTTGTAAAAAGAGATGTACATCAAATTTAATGCCGAAGAGTTTATTGATATTTTCTGTTACAAGCAAGGTTAATTTGATAATGGGGGTAATAAATGTCACTGTCTTTATATTAAATATCAGGACAGACTTTGCGTGTTGATATTTTCCTGAGTAAACGATAAAATGTGCTTAGATTTATGCTTTTTAAAAAATATTTACGCATATTAAGATATATACCGACACAAACAACTAGACGTTATTTCTATACAACACCGTAATCAAATAGTGTGATTCATGTGCATTGGTTTTATTTGTTGGGATTAAATGGCAATTTTCCCACTTTCTCTGCAAGTATTAAGACATCAGGTACCATTTCAAGCATTATAATATTTCAGGCACGAGTGGACACCAGAGTAAATCAATAGATTTTCTGTAGGCTTGCAATATCGTTTCTTATAATACGACGTCCCTGGCGGGATTTGAACCTTAAGCGGTAAAGTTGATCGAATGACGCGACCGTAACGATGCGACTATCTGTAGATATATATCATATTGATAGTGAAAAAGGATGAAAATATAAAAAGATGAGCTTTTGGTGTTTTTTGTTAAAATGATGTAAATTTAACAATTTCTGTATAGTAACATTGTTCTTAGAACGACTGATGAAATAGCCAACTTAAGGTATTACGCAAATAGATTATGTTAGATGTAATATTGATGATGCCCAATTTAAAACGTCGAGGCACTTTATTAATTTCTATTATTTAAAAACGTAAAGTTACAGGAAGGGAGAAATTTCAAGTTTTAATATTTGCTTACAATTATTTTATGATAATTTCCCTTTAACTAAAATCTTTTCTATACAGACTATTATTCAAGCGTAATAAGGCAAATATAACATCAACTTACACAGGTATGAAACATAATATTACAGAAAATTAAAACAGGAAATAAACCAATTGTATCCTTAAAGACTTAAGAATAATAATCATTTCCTTCATATGAATTTGTTGAAATCTGTTGAAGTAAATACAAGTTTCTTTCTTATTTCCTGCAGGCGAGCACTAATAACACCACAAAAGCTTTCCCATTATTGGATCAAATCAATTTTTTGACGGAAATGCCCCTGGTCGCATGAATTCAACACACTTTCATTTTCTTATTAAAGACAAGTTGAAATTGATTTGTCTGACAGGAAGCAAGCAGTAAGTTGAATATCTTGGCTAGACATGAGATTTCGTGTTAATTAAAGATTTACGCTGGATTTTATTTTGATGGTCAATTTTGAAGATTATTTAAGGTCCATTATGCCTCAGAAATGTTATTATGTTTTATTTCTAACAAGCTCTTAACTCATTTCTAAAGTGTTTTAAAACTCATTGTTGCCCTTACTATAGAAGGTATAAAATTCGTTAATGAAACACAATGTTCCTTGAATTAATGAAAGATTTCAATTTAAGGTATACTCTCAGATACCTCTTATGAGTCTGTCTTTTGACAAGTCAGTGGTTATAATAAAACAATAAGTGTTTTAAATATATCAATGTTTCGTTTACGGTTTTAAAGGATATCAGGTATTGTACATGTAATATTGAAAATAAAGCCACATAATCTGAATTAAGTCATCAGAACAAAGTATGAATGAACGAGCGAACGAAAAAATAGTTGCCCAAACTATGTGAAACCGAAAAATGTTGCAGACTCAGAATGACTGGGTCTGTTCGTGGTTGTTTGTGTACTCCATGTATGGCTAAGATGCATTTCATTTGGACAGTTACCTAACAACCAAGTCCGTGTAAGCATTTGCACATTCTTTCGCAGGATACTGCCAATTTCTCTATGTTAACAACTTAGATTGGCGTGGAGGAATAGATGTGGTTTGTTACTGCGGTCAAAAACCATGTATCCCGTCAAGAAATCGGCTAACAACTGTAGTGATACTCCAATCCATCATTTTGAAAATACAGTTGATTATGCAGTTATAATGAGAGAGTCCGCAAATGAAAGTTTTGAAAGAACATTTCGAACAAGCCAATCCGTCTTATTAACAAAAATCATTCAACTAAAAATTGATTTTAAACGTTATTCTATGAAATGAAATGAACCTGTTTGTCAAATCTATGATGTACAACATTTACAAATGTAAATAAGGAGCTCGATTTACATACATTTAATACACAAAATAGTATAAACAACTGTCACAAAACGCATGCGATTCGTTACCTTTTATTTCTGGCAGCCTTTAAATATTTTACTCAATGCATTCATAACTGCTTCCCCTTGAATATGTCACGAAATTAATATAGACGGAGTGCATACTGAAAAGAAAAACAAAGACTTAAATCAAAGAACGAGACAGTAGAGTTGGTTAAATCATGATTAAATCTAGAAAAACATTTACAAATTTATTCATATATGTTTTCGGTATTTGAAAATAAAACAATATTCACAAAATTATATTAAATCTTTTATTGCTATTCAGGTTTGACAATCAAATTAATCAAAATGGTGAGGCAATCCTTATAAAATATCGAAAAAGACAATGCATGTAAAGATCGTGTATACATGACTGTACAAGCATATATTGTTATCAGAGCTTAACTCATATTACAATGAATGCTATAGAATACATCTACACAATATGGCAATGATAATCTGATGTCAGATTCCGTTATATAACATCATTCACTGAAGACTCTGTTATATTGTGGATAGATTAATTTTGTTTTGCATTCTTGTTTGTTTGGTTGTCATCAGTTTATATCTCTTTTTTAACGCCAATTTCATTACAGTTTGGTTCAATATCACGGCGGTCATTCCACCCAACCAGCTTTTCTGGATAAGAAACCACTGATTACCTAGTGTCTCCCCAGGTAACCAATTACCTATCAAACATGGTTTCTGAATCAGTAGTGAGACAGAATGAAATTAGACTAAATGTCCGAAATCATTTGTCATCTAAGAATTACAGCTCGCTCTAGCTTCGAACCAGTTAGCCCGTGATTAAAAAATCGATGATTTTTCTATTTTGTTTAGCGGGCGGACGGATTTACCCGACCTTCCCACATGGAAAGGTTGTGCAACCTCTTGTTGAACATGCTTTACAATGTACACTTTTTTATCTATAATGTGCATGTACGTTGTCTGTCCTATTAAATTGAACCATTAAAATTTTATTCTACCACACAAATATACATGTATCCTACCTAGGACAAAACTACTTTGTTCTTGTTATAATTAAAACAAACGGAATTACGGATAAATGTGTGTATAACAGTTAAACCATCAATAGAATAAGATAATGACTTTGACAGAGTACTTATCAATCAGTAGGTTAAAAGTAGTAAAACATGTTTTAAGCAAGAAAATAACAAATTAAAGATATTCAGCTTTAAATCGTGTAATAAAAGAAAGCTTTAAGGTAATGCATGAGATAATCATGATGTTAATATATAACTTTATATTCGTTTGCTGTCAAATGTTATGCAGTAAAGGTATTTATTATATCTCATAATTTTAACAGTAAGTTTGCTGTTATAAAGATTCTTGGCAGGTAAGCGGTTCGGGTTATACATGTATAAATTATGCAAACAACCGTTTATATCTGGCCATATTATCAGCCAAAAATCTTAATTCTAATAATATTCACATTATCTCCATAAAGAAGAAAAAGAAATATAAAAAAAATACAAAAAACACACAAAAAACAACAACAACAAAAACAACAAACAAACAACAACAACAACAACAAGAAACAACGATAATGATATTATTAAGTAAACATCCAAATTGAATGTTTTAGAAAAGAAAATTAGATTAAATCAAGTAAAGTTCCAGACTCATTAACATGACTTTCCTGAATGCTGAATATAATTTATTTGACATATCAGCTGTATCAAATAATTTATTTGTCATTTACCTATGGTGCGGAATTTGTTTAATGCATTATCGGATTCTGTCTTTTAATATGATAATATCTGTCTAGAGGTAAAATAAATAATGTCATTAATTATTTTGTTAAAGAGTTTAGTTATATCTTTTTCACATAGACAGTGTAAAAACAACAACATTTCGACTTTACTTTTCCTATATTGACTTATTTCCGCAGAGATGATTATTTTTCTTATCAAAAATAAACGTGTACATAGATATTCATTATCTCACAAAACACAAAAAAACCCAAAAAACAAATCAATAACTCACAAAAAAAGTAATAATAAAAAATCATGAACATTTTTCTCATTATCTGTTTATTAATAAACAAGATTTTGTAAAACCAATGTGTATGTATCAAACTTATGCTGGTACATTTACATTATGAAATTAAAAACTCTTTTGTACTGCGATGTTTTTCGTTTTCTCCTGTGGCTATGAACGAATCAATGGTAAAACAGCTTTCACGCATTGTTAGGTATTTCTATCACTGTATTATTTAAAATACAAATGTAAGTTAACAGAGAATACTTAAATATACAAATATACATGTTTTAGCAAATAACATAAGAAAACAGAAAACATCAAAGCACAGAAGGCGCTGAATTTGTTTGGGTCTCAGAATGTCAGAAAGGTGAAGGTTGTGAGATTATAAACTAATTTGCTTTTGTATAGTGCCACAAATGCTTTCCAGTGTTTTAACTGTATTAAATTGGCTATCAGACTACTTGCAACACTGATATTCAATTCAATGTTTATTTGATTTAAACAATTAAAAAAAACTGAGTGGCCCTAACTTGGATTTGAACTCCAGACCTCTCGATTCCCAAGCGAGTGTGCAAACCCCTTGACCACCGTGACGGTGAAGTTATATGATAATGGCCTTAAGAAAACCATATTATTCTAAATTATGGTTTCTAACTCTTATTATTTCGACGCTAAACCTGTTGTTTAAGACAGATGTAAATAATCATGGAGCTTACTATTAGCATATCTATAAATAATAAAACAATATTAGAAATCTTCGACCATTCGGGAGCTATGTTGCTTGAAAATTAATGCGCCTGTCATTTGACAATCTTAACGCAGTGATCGCCCCAGAATTTTTCTGCGTTAGTGTACGTATAAAGGGAAGTAACCGCTTCAAAAAAGCGGACTGCTTTCGGCATTTGCAATTAACAGCATCAGGGTCTGAAATTTCGCTACCATTATTTGTTTGGTCTGACGACCCAAACAAATAAAAACGTTTCGAATATTATATGGCATTTCTAAGATACACCGGGCATAAGTACTTGTAATATTTTTACCCCTGCTTATATACATCAAATTACTTTATGATGGCATTCTTGTAGTTTCAAATTCCCGACGATTACGTTAAATGTATGTGTCTATGTGGGTGTTCATGTAGAGAATGCTCTTATATTGTAATGTAAAGGGTTATTACGAAAAATACATTTAACTCAAGGGCAAACTTATTACAAAACCACAATTATAAATAGTTTCTCTGAATTTTACTCTATATTCTTGAGAAAACTTAAGTACAATTCTTAAACAGAAAGAAAAGATATATAAAAAAGCTTTCTTTTCGTGTCCATTATTTATTATGTTGCAAATTGTAGGAAATGAAAAGCGTTCTCTTGAAAACAAATTGCAGTTTACTTGAACGGTTTATTGCTATTATATATCGACTTTATCTCACTTTTATTGCTTGAATAACTTTGGAATCGGATACTGTTTATTAAACTATGTTTCATATATTATGTGTGTTGTAAAATATGATCGTGAAAACTAAGTCAATAAATATAAAATATAAATATATATAAATATAAATTTATTAATACTGTCACACAGTTCATGGCTGTTACATATTGGTGATATACGAAAATATGTTATCAAAATTAGGATGAATACTTTAAACAAAAGAAGGCTTTCTATCTAAAACAGATACCATAAACTCCTTTACAATTTTTTTTTAAATAAAAACAAATAATTATCAACCCTACTGTAATAATAATTCTCCTCCTGTGAGATGTATCTATAATCTAATATTATATCCGTTCAAATAGATTTGTACTACATTCGTTTAGATGCGGTATTTCGACTAATAATTACAGTGCTTTCAACACTAACGATATCTTCTTAAAACTACGACAGCTTAATACATTTATTCTTTATTGATTAAACTACATACAAATATCAGCAACGATGAAAGCTACAATGTCAAAATTTTAGCATTTCTTGTAAAAGGGAGAGTGGAGGAAGTTATATTTTTGAAGAAGTAAAATAATCAAAACGAAATAACAAAAAAATCAGACAAAAGCCCTGCAGGCCCTAAATAGTGGGCCTAAAAATCCATTATATTAATCAAAATATTCAAATATAGAAGAAAGCTATACAATGTCATACATCAAATGTCTGATTTCCTTGACATGTGCGTTCAGAGAAGAAGATTTTTAAAAGTTTTACTCTTAGACGATATCAGTTTATCATAATTCAAGTTACCTTTAAGACTGAACCCAAGGACAATAATTTGGACAGATTTGGCAGGAAACTTTCATACGCAATGCTTTTCACGAAATATCTAAGCTCCAAACCTTGAAATATTTGAGAATGCATTTATGTAGTTGACCCTATGTAAAAACTGGCGAAACCAAAACTGATCCTTTGATCAAAGTTTTAACAAACCTGGTTCAATTTTTCACATTTAATATGACTGAGTTTCAGAAAAAATTATATTGCACTTTTTAATTATATTTTAAACTTCCATGTCGAAGATATGGAACTTGTCAGGCAATTTAAATAAATGTGAACATTTGGTATTGTGAAGCAATTGTGGACGGTACATGAACGACAAACATCAATCGACCCTAAAAGTACACTCTAAGCACAATGCGGTTGATGTAGCTTAAGAGCATTAACATAATAAATACTTGCATCAGACTAATGTTATTTTATATGACTGCTATAATTGTGTCAACATCTCTGGCAAAGATATATTAAAACTAGCTCGTAATCTTGGAATAAATGTAAGCTATGAATACCTCCCAAAACTTACTATCATACACATAGGTTTAATCCTCGTACATATGAATAGAAGGTAAAATATATGTCCATGACATAATAATTATGATGTCATTATTTTTGATATTTATACAAATGTTTTAACATACATACATTCAAGAACTTAATATCCTACATGATAATTTTATAATATAAACTATTTTAACAGCTTTCAGTGAATCACTTAAAATAGTTTATATTATAAAATTATCATGTAGGACATAAAGTTCTTGAATGTATGTACATGTATGTTAAAACATTTGTTAGTCTATGTTAGTCTAGAGTACCTTTAGTCAATATTTCGCTTGAATTGGTCATAATATTT